GAAAAGTTGAAGGCAGAGGAGCTGGAAGGAAGAGTCCCACAAGACTCAAATTCTTGTCCTCTTGGACATATTGAAGCTGAAAAAACCAACCAAACACAAGTTTAAAAGAAGCATTTTATTTCAGTTAAACAAGTGGTACAACTAAATGTGAGACTGGAAAGTTTGGGACTTCTGTAAACTTTCTCAACTTTTCATTTCAAGTCATGGGGAAGAAAAATTAGAAGTATCAAAGTTTTTCACAGGATGAGAACCCTGGGCTTATGCCCACCCACAAGAACAACCTCAGGTTTTCTACATTTAAGATGGATGTGGATAGGAAGTGAAAAAAGGAGCTTTCTCTTTCTCAATATTAGTATTTCAATTTGTCAATGGTTCAGGGAGAACAGTCAACTGATAGATATTCAGAGGCAGCTTTTTCAAAATAAAAATAGCCAACTTTTTTTTTTTTTAGATTAAAAATTATATTTAGCAGAAAATAAGAGAGATATCCTACAGTATATATTTCTAGGAGCTATAATTACAGTTTATTTCTCTTCAAAATAAATTAAATCCATGACTAACAATGCTTTTGCTAAGAACCAAAATGGTATTTAGACCATCCTATGCCACAAACCCTTTTCTTATCTTGTGTACATTTCTAAAGATAACACTCTTTCACATATTAAAGATTCCTTGGAGGACATGTATTTATAATTGAAGTGACAATGAGAAGTTGATTATATTCATGTTAATTTAACAAAAATGTAAAACCCTTTAACAGCACTTCTCTTAAATTATAAAATAAGAACATATTTTTTCTTTGATCTGGAAACAGCCCAAATAGAGCTGCTACTTTAAATTGATGCTTCAGGCAGTCTCACACACTCCCTGATCACCTTAACATTTTATACACAGGTGCCATGCACATTTACTTGCACTGCATGCCCAAGGGTGAAAGTATGGTGCAGGCTGCCCAAGTAGAGTTATCAAATATTTATGCAGATTTATAACACTGCTGGATATGCTTTAAGTGCTATAATGTAAGAAACAAAACATGTGTAGAGGAAAACAATCTGCACAAAGATCATCCATATGCAACCGTTTCTGGGAACTTTGTTCAAATAATACTACCCACCTGCTTTTTTTAACCCAGGCTGTCAGAGAAATGGTGTAACTTTAAAAAAATTGAAAGTAGTAAATCCTGGATTTCTGCCTCAGTTCACTCCTTTCTAAACATCTATATTCTTAAGTGGCAATACTTTTCTTCTAATCCCTACTCAAGCAATTTGATAAAGTGATTGCATATACAGAGACAAGGTATTTTAAAATGTACTGCCTTGATCATAGGTAACTTCATATGTCTTTCCAAAGGGCAATAGGTGTCCCCCTCTGGGATCCAAAGTCAGACATAGTTATTTCCAGATAATTTACGAAACTATTTTATAGTCTCAGGTTCCCAAATTAAGGTGTAATGAGGTGGAGGAGATCTATGTGCTATCATAGCTTTTTGTGATAGCTAGCCTTCAAAGGAGAGTTAGATGAAATAGTCAGATGCCTAATTTACCTGCATTGGTCTCTGGGATCCATCCCCAACTCCCCATGTCTGGGAGAAAGCAATTGGCAATTTACTTGTAAAATGTATTCAATGGCAGAGATGAATGTCTGGCTAAGGGGCTTTCACGGGGCATCTCATCAGGTAGTGGCTGGCAGCCTGAGATCTGCAGACGTGGGGCATGCAAAGTATCTTCCTAAGGTGACCACGAGAAAAGGTTAAGGAAAACAAGGTTACTAATGAAAGAGGTGTATGTACCTCAGTACATCTACTGGAGGATATGTTTGGGCCATGAAATCAGAATTAAGAGCCCTCAGCCTACTCTAAGTCAATGTGTAGAACAGTTCCATCTTATACAGTAAAGTAGAAGGATTGCCTCCAAAAGAATTAGAAAAAAAAAAGACATTTAATTACAGTTGTTTCTAAGACATTTTCTGGAATAACATCAATCTCATCTTTCAGATTGCATACCATTCATTGTACTGTCATCTTGCTGCTGTTTTCATTCCAGAATTAACTGTGCAAATTTACTCTTTGTCATGAGAAGCGATGGATGTTTAATTTTGGTGTATGGCTGTGAAGGTCAAGATTTTCACATAATGAGAGCCACAGATCCTGTTGACCTTGCACAGCTAAGTTTGTAATCAGTAGCTACAGTTCTTTGTAACTACTATGTCTGCCATAGTCTTCAATATTATGACTTTATGACACTTTATTTTGTAAAGGGCACAGTGACTGATCACTGGCTATATTTTAAAACCACCTAGACCCTCATCAACTAAATAAATTTTCTCTGCATACATGATTGAATTCTGCATCCCACCCATACATCCCTTGAATTTTTGCTTACTTGTATTCAAGGTCACTGCCCACCTGGCTGTCTGCAAGCAAATGCAAAAGCCTAAGGACATAGTGGCTCTGGGAGTTACCACTCCTGAAGCGGTGTTTGAGCAGGGTCTTTGCACCCCTCAGAGCAGGCTAGTTGGTGTGATCAGCTCAGACGGGCAAAGCTCTGCTTGGGACTTCTCACAGCCACAGCTGGATGGAGCAGGGGACTGGTAAGGGATAGAAACCTTCTTCCATACCACCTCTACACCCAGCTCTGGTGTAACCCACTTGTAATTGCTTCAGCTTGGGCTTGCACCAAAACTGGCTCTCACGTATGTCCATAGGACTTGTGCCTGAGAATCAGAACTGATGTGCTGCACGTATCTTTTGGAAGAATCAACACTTGCCAGAGTATCCAGAAATGTGTTTCTCTGCCAGAAGTTACACAGCACCAGGTTGAACCAAAAATTCCTTGTTGCTATGGTTGCTACTTGCTCTAAATCTTTTTACTGCTCCTTGTTGAAAAGCAGCAAAGGAGAATAAAAACATACACAACAATTGTAATTGCCTGGTGCGCATTGTAACATTTCTCTTTGGTGGCTGCTTTAAATTATGCAGTAGTATTGCTGGCATGTTTCCCCACTCCCTCTTCCCTCAGAGGATACATTTTACAGTGGTGAAATTGGACACTGGGTGCAAGAATCACATATTTGAATAATTTTTTCAGAAGTAGACGAGTCACACGCAATGTATTAGAACTCAGGCTGTAACAATTAAGTGGCATTTGCATTCATTAAGCATACATGAAATTTAATTCCATTAGGTCCAGCAGCATTAAGGTCTGTTTGTTGCTGCTGATATTACAGCTTAAGGACATTATATCTTCTGGCTAGATTCTATTTCATAACCTAATAAAGCCAGGAATTACATCCTGGCTTGATGCCTTTGTAAATCCAGCTCAGTGAACATACAACATGAAAGCTGTCGATGTAAATTATTTATATTCACCACTGTCCAAAACATTAATTTATAAAAAAGGTTTAACAAATTAAGAAGACTACAGGCACTGTGCCCACAGCAGAACTAATTTAAAAGACAACAGTATGACTTTCTCAAGACACACCTCACATCTAATCTTTCCACTTTTTTAACAGATACAATACAGAAGAACTGTGAACATTTCAATGAGACCATTTAAGGAATCAAAATCTTACATTACATTTCAGTCTACTTCCCAGAAATTTTGACGAGCATAATTTCCCAGGAAAATCAAGGATACTTTACCTTTTAGATTTTGACATTCTTAGCTGACATAAAAATTAGGGAAAGGAAAGCAAAATATGAAAATATTTGAATTGCAGCTCTTATAATTTGTTCTGCTGAAAGAATATTTTGGATTCAGTACAAGCACACAACATAGCAAAAAACATGGCAAATAAACTTACGACAACAAATCATTTTTGTCTGCATGAAGTTTCATAGAAGACATCATGACGGAACACAAGACTGCCCTCTTAACTACTTCCAAATAAAATCTATCATTAAAAAGCATTAACAGAATTTTTATTGGCAATTTATGTGAGATGAATATGGGTGCCAGTGTAAGTTTTCATTTGCAGTCCTTAACTCCTAACTATCAAATTAAAAAGGTTCACAAAATAAAAGTTCCTACCTCCCAGTCTTTAATTTCTTCTCTGATTGTTACTAGCACTGTCAGGCTAGTCCTCCTGGTTGAAGAACCAGTAAAATGTTTATTTCTAATGATCTGAACAACAAGCCTATTTCCATGGAGATGTGAGAAACAGGAAGTGTTTACTTAATTATGCCTTATTTTCCTGTAAGTAATTTTCCAGTGGTCTAAGATGTTAATTTTTTCAGAAATCTAAGTGTTTGACTGTATCTACAATGTCATTTCAATGGCATAAATGTTTACCACAGGCATGAGATGGTAATTTTTTTCCTTTTCAAGGATATTTTGTGGGAAAAAAATTTTAAGCCTGCTAAGTGTATAAATTGTATTTGCATATAGTTTATTAATATATAGATATAAAAATTAAAATATAAAATTTAACTAGACTCATAGCAGCTGTACTTCCATTTCAAAAACATTCTGTCATCTCTTAAAAAAACATGTCTAAAGCTACCAAAATAATCTTTGAAATTCTTCAGATCTAAGTCACTAAGCTTTCTGCATAGTCAATGGAGAGAGATAAGAACCCTCAGAAAACAAATTTTATCTTAAAATAGGTGTCTTAGATAAAGTAACTAAGCCATTTTGGAGTTTGCCCTCTAGGCAAGTATGCACTGGACAACTTAGATGAGTAACCCTTAGAAAGCTCAGTTTGACTGAGATGTCACTTGTTATCTGCTTTAACTGGAATCCACTTCGAGCTCACAGACTCAGCAATATATTTTCTATTAATTTACTGCAATTTTAGGAGAAGAAGTTAAGAAGCTATATATCTCTATTTATGAGTCAACATAAACTATTCATCCACAAGAAAAAAAACACACAGGGGATGACTTAGCAACAAATGGTCCAGACAGCATTGTATCCAACTCCAGGAAAAAGCCATAATGTAAAGTCTCAGGCCTACTAAGGAAGAAACTAACTAAATAAATTTTTATGAAGTTAAAAAAAAAAATCATTATTTCATTTTCTGTTTTCTGTTCATCATGTTTTCACACTGGTGTCTGTCTGGAACTTGACAGACCACAAAATACGGATCTATTTCTCTGACACTTAAATCTGGAGAAATGCAGAAGGCTGTGATCAGAGGCTTTGCACAAAAGTGGCACAAAATGTGCAGAAAAAGCCCTTTAGGGAAAGCTCATTTTGCTCCTGTCTACAGCTCCTCTGCACAGTTAATCTACATCAGCTCATCCTGACCTTTTCTCCACAGCAGTCTGTGTCACACCTGCGTAAAAACATTCACCTCAGCGCGGTGACTCAGCTGGGAGACATTTCAGGCCAGGGTGGCAGTGGAGAGGAGGAGGATTTTTCCTGGGTCCTCACAACTCAACTTACTTATGAAACTGCCCCTAATTTACAGAGTGCACTTACCTTTCTTCTCCTTTCCTCTCTAGCCCAGAGTTTCTGTCTGCAACAAGAGAAGCATGTTTTATGTAAATCACTTCCCAGTGGAGTCACTCATTATTATTGTAGACAGCTCTAAAGAGAGAAATCCATGACATTTACCAGCAAAAACTGTTAATGAAAATGTCATTAAATAAGTCAATCTGCAAGCCACAAAATGGCCTATTTACCTTTTCTCTTTTCCTGTCTTCCACATTTCTGCATCTCTGGGTACATTTCACTCAAGTCAATCTTTTTTATCACCAAGTTATAGCTTTCTCTGGAGAGAAGCACCCTTTTCTGGCAAACTAGTCATATTTGAGAGGCCAAGGAAGAGGAAACTACTGGCTGGCTGTAGTGAGGAAATTTCCAGCAGCAGTAATCTGGAAAGTACAATGTAGTCCCTGCTTTGCTATGCATTTTGTAGGGTTCATGACTGAGCCTCTCACTTAGAACTTGTAAGGTCCTCATGTCTGTAATTCATGTTGCTCACTGGAGTATCTTTCCGGTCACATGTATGTCCTTAGGATCTACTTTGCTGATTCAAAAAGCCTAATCCAAAAATTCTGCTAAAATTTCCCTACTCCTTCAGACCATTTATATCTCATCATAATGGACTATATTAACCAAAAGCAACTGTCTGATAAACTGACAAGGATTGGCAAGAGTGTCCCTTTTGAATTTATTTCCTGAGAGCTTTCCATTTTCACAACTGAACATCAAGGGTTTTCCTTTGGAAAAAGAGCTATTGGTATCAGGGAGAGGTCACTGTTGACTGGGTGCACATAGCTCACATTCCTAAGTTATAAAGGAATTCACCTTTCTCCATAATTCTGCGGGCAACCAGGATCTGCTTTGTACATATGTGTTTATATTAAGCCCCAAAAATTGTGCGGATAAAGTCAGTATCTTTTATTAAAACATCTACCATATTTATAAAAATACCTAACATTTTAGGTCCACAGAATGTGATGAAAGCATCTGGCCATTTTTTTTTCCCTAAAAGCATTATTGATCTATTAAAAAATAAAACTCCTCTACTCACAAAACTTTTCTCCCTTCTGACCTGAAAGAGTTATGGCTATAACAACCTGAGGTCCATAAACACGGGATCATAGAAGGGTTGAGGTTGGAAGGGACCTGTGAAGGTCACCTAGTTCAAACCCCCTGCTCAGGCAGGGCCACCTAGAACTGATTGCCCAGGACCATGTCCAGATGACTTTCAAATATCTTCAAGCGTGGAGACTTCACTGCCTCCCTGGGCAACGTGTCCCAGTGCTTAGTCATTCTCACATTAAAAAGTCTTTCCTGATGTTCAGACAGAAACTCATGTTTAAATATACTGTTTGAAGGGTACATTGACCCTTATTTGTGCTCAGTATACACCATCCTGGTTGGACAGTACATTCCTTTTCACATCAACTTGGAAACAGTTGCAGACTTTTACACTTTTGTATTAAAGCCCAGCCATAGCCAGAGGGAAAACTATTAATCTGCTTTTTCTCAGCATAGAGCAGCAAAAGAAAGAAGCATAATTTCCCCATTTTGCAAAGAAGTGGAGGCACAGAGAGACTGCTATCAGCCTAAGTCTGTTCCTCCTTCCCTGTTACTTGGCAAGAAGAAGGAAAAAGTACTGAAAATACTCACACCAGGCAATAACAGCCAGCCAGCAATGGGCAGGGAAGAGCAAAGCAAAGCTGTTTCTTGCTGAAGTGATAAAAAAATAAATGGAAGTCTGACAGACAAAATGTAACCAGCATTTCAGGACACTGCTCCTTTTGCCTTTGAAACTTGCACACATTTTGGCAACTGGCACAGGGAAGGCCACTAGCACATCCTGACTGCAGTGGGATTCCAATGGGATAGAGAGAAGTGCTGTGTGATAGCCATAGTGATTTGCAATGGACTGTCCCTGTATCCAGCTGCTATTTATTGTGCAGGGCACATATCACATTTTGCCTTGGCGGATGTATTTCACTGTCCTGCCTGATCAAAAATGTTGCCTTGCAGCAATCTTAGCTTGAGAGAACCCCAAGCAGTTTTATAAGCAAGAAGTCACCCCAAGATGCCACTTGAGAGGAATAGCATTAAAGTATACTCATCTCTCTTGTGTCCCTGGCTACTTCAGAAGCTCACAAACAAAGCCTAGCTCTGCTAGCTAGTACTCAGAAGGGGAAAGAACCCTCATGCCCTTGTTCATGATGTATCAGCACTTCCTAAGTAGAAACTAACTAAAAATGCTGACTCTAGTCATGACCACTAGTTTTGAGTAAAGATAGCAAAGTAAAAGATTTATTTTAAGGATATTTAAGTAAAGGCAAAACCATGTAAACTAGCTTACATAAGCTCACTCTTTTTCAAACCTGAGAAGAAACAATCAGCACAGGAATGACGCTTCACGTGTGATCTAAAGGCACAAAATAATTTAGTTACACACAGAACAGTCATATACCCATAAACACATGCAGGCAATTCCTGTAAGCAAGGCGAGATGCAGCCCTCCAAGGATTTTCCTCCAACCCCAAGGAAATGCCAAGGTATGGAGCAGAGATGCCTGAGCTAGCTTCAGAGCCAGCAAAAGCACAAGGAGCACAGCATCTCTAAAACACCTGGGTAACACAAGCCAAGTGCACATCTCCCAGAGTCAGGATTGAGGCGCCATGCCATCTCTGCACCACCTTGGTGCTGTTCAGCCCAGAGAAAGCCTTAGTGTGGGGAGAAGGAAATGCTCTCCCCTTGAATCCACTGCATGAAGGTAGTCCTTCTGAAATACCCTTCTGGTCAGCACTGCTGAGACCACACTTTCTTGCTCCTTGATTCAGCCTGCCTACATCCTCACTGTTCCACTTAAATTGATTTCCCCCGCATTGGTACAGTATCCACAAGCAGACAGGCAGATTAAATTCTCTTTAAGTTATCTCTTGCTAGGCTTATTCATAAAAGTAAGACTCCAGCAGCATCTTACAGCCCTCAGTCAGCTCTACGCCGAAATCAGGAACACAAATCCCGATAATGGGCTGCCGCCAGCAGCCAGAAATGGGTTAAGTGAGTCTCTTGGGCAAAATGAAAAATGCCACTTCTCAGTAACTGAGAGAGGATTTGTCTTGGGCAAAAACACTTGGGATGGGGCTGCCAGTGTTATTTATATCCTCAGTATGACAAACAGTTAAAGGGAAGGATTTGTTAAAGATTCATCAACCTTTCTCATTTGTTTAAGAGCTGGGAAATCCCAGAAAGGAGTCCGCTAAGCAGACCTCTGCTGAAGGCAGAGAAGAGCTCTTGAGGGAGAAAACAAGTGGGGCAGTTTGCTTAGGAGCAAAAAGAGCTCCACTTTTTCAGATGGTATCAATTTTCTCCTTTCCCAACCAGGTCAGCTGAAGAATTCCTGGTCTATGCTGTGCCAGAGGTCATCACAGACACTAGAACAGCCTCCCTGCTTTTACAGTTGATGGAATTTTTATATCTGCCCACATGAATCCCAGTAAAGACAACAAAATTACCCTTTATAATCAGCCAGCCCAAATGCTTCTACGGCATCAAATACTCTATTAGATTTCTCTTAATTTGCTCTATTAAAAAGGGGAGTAAATAGCTATTTCCTTTCATTTTTCATCCACACGGAAGTGTAAGTCTCTCGTGCTTTAGAAATTATATTTCTTTTTACTACACAGTGCACCAGGGTCCTGTGTTCTAAAGTCCTCTGAAAATCTAAGATATCAAAAATGCACATCAAATACTAGCAAGCCATATAAAATGGACCATCCTGGGAAAAGAAGGGTATTTGTAAATCTACCAAAAGAATTTTCAGTCTAAAATACACTAAAATTAATTTAATTTTTCTGAAAACTTTGAAAGCCCTATGTTGTCAAACACCTAGGGATAGTTCATAAAGTTTTTCAATGAAAAGTTTTTTCATCAGAAATAGTGGCAATTGACTGAAACAAGCGTGCATTCTGCAGGCAAACAGCAGCATTGCCAAAACTTTTGTCAGAAAAGATTTTTCATCTCTAGGGTGTGATTTATGATCAAAACCCCAGAGAGGCTTAGAATCAACAATAGCCTAAATTCCTGGGCTCTCACAGACCTGAACTTAGGACTCCACTGTACTAGGCAGGCACTACAAATCACCAAGCTATCAACTACCTACCAAAGCCAGCCTCATATTTTCACAGGTTGGCACCATTCCATTTAGTATTAAAAAAAAAAAAAAAAAAAAGAGAGAAAAAAAAGAAAGAAAAAAAAATTGTGAAGGAAATCCTTAATATTTCTGTGGTCAGAGAACGTTTCTGGAATGTGGGAGGCTGGCAATGTTGAATCTTTTTTACCTGATGTGAGCTGATTAATGTATTGTTGGCTGTGCTAACTGAGGATATTTCTTTCTTCATTTTTTTCCTCCATATAGAAGGAACTTGGTTTCAGCCCCATGTGGAGCAAAAAAGGGGTTAAGGATTTTTAAACCTCAAAGTTGTGTACAACTAGAAAATCCTCTTACCCAGCTGTCAGAGAAGACACATCCCTGTGAGATGGCCATAATTTTCTTTTGGGAACACCCAATAGGCTTTCTAAGTGAGCAGCAGTGCAGCACATAATGGACATGTCCTGAACTGGAAGGGCTTCTAAATCAAGCCCAGACTAAATGAAGCTCCTTAGAGTTTGGGAAGAGAAATACACTTTTAGCATGGACATAGAGGGAGAGAGCTGTATGAGCTAAGAAGTTGCAAGGTTTTTACTTTTTACTTAGTCTTTTTACTAGGATTCTTCTGCCTCATGGGCAACCAGGATCCAGATTCAGGAACAAGGCAGGTTTTTAAGGCAGCCTGCTTTGCATACAGGCAACGAAGTGAAAAATTTGTTGTAGAGCAAGCACAGTTTTGCAGTTGGAGTGAATCTAGGTCCCGTTTTAGCTTTAAATCAACTTTAGGATATAACAGTCCATTCTAGTCCAGTGCCCCTGCTTTCACCTTACCACAGGTTAACTGGGAGCCATCATACAACAGTTATTGTTTCATGTAACCTGCAGTAAAACTACCTGTCTGGATCATTGCACACTTATATATCAATAATAGGACATGATTTAGGAGTCCTTGGTCCTCTGTTTCAGATTTGAAACTGCAATGAAGCATACCCACCATGTCAAAAGCTGCTCTTAGGGCCAGGATTTGGGTAAAGTGGCGTTTACCCAGAAGATCTGAGCTTCACGTATCCAAATCAGCTGTCTGCATACATACATACATACCTACATATGTGCACATCCAGCTAAGTGATGAGGGAACAACTGCCTGCTGCCTGGAATTTTTACCGGTGAGCATCCCAGGATGGCTCAAGAGATGAGCAAAAGAAGCAGGCTACCTTCCACAGGGCACCAAAGTATATGTGCAGTCCAATTTGCTGTGGTTTCCCTCTAGGGTGGAGCTAGAAGACTGTGTAGCATTAAACTTCTCATAACTCTTCCCAGATTATATGAAATCTCCTCCTTTTCCTTAAGCCCAGGCAAACCTCTCCCCCCACAGGCCCTGAGGAAGATGCCTACGGTCAAGTCTCAAGTCCCATCTTGCAACCACACAGCAGGCATAAGGGCATTTCATGCCCAGATGTATATTGTTACTCCTTCACTCTTTTACACCTTTTACATGTTTTCTCAAGCAGTCCAAGACAGGAAAAAAACAAACAAACAAACAAACAAAAAAACCCCAGCAACTTTATTAAAACTGTATTAAAACTAACTGCTTCACCTGTAGCAGTATATTCTACTGAGGATGTATTCCCTTTGCAGCTGCACAATTCTATAGCATAGAATAAAACCAAGTCCCCTTCAAGCAAAAATCCCTAGGTATCTAGGGATCTCCTGAAAATCTCCAGCTAATCACAGCACTGAAATAGGTGGAGAGCTGAGAAGAAAACAAAATGAAAGTAGTTGCTAATCTACCTTTCCCAGACAGTGCCCACCTATATCAACCTCACCGAAGAGCATGCTGCTGCCCTAGCATTCCTCCAGCAATTAGTTATCCTTTTCTTGAAGACTTCAAATGGCTGAAGGCACACACCATCCCTTTGAAAAGCTAGTGATAGTTGTCCTTCCCCTTTTATTCTTCTGAAATAACAGTTTTAGACTGGCTCCCAAAACCACAAAATACCGTTTTTCTTCTGGAAACTCCTAAATAACTCCTAAGACCTGGGAGTTGGGCAGAAATTCTCTGGGATGTAAGTGGTTCTGCCTTTATTCCAGATGTGCTTGCTGACAGCTGACACATACAGACAGCAAACATCAAATAAAACAACTATGATTACCTGCACATAGTGTTTAGCTTGTGGCCATCGTCACAGTAGATAAAGCTCTCATGTCCTATTTGGAGAGACAGGTAAATAGATTTAGCTTAAAATGGGAAAACCAAGCATCTATAATATTTCCTGTGTGACAGATTGTATGTGGTTGTGCATATGTGTATGACAGACAGTGCTGGAATATTTTAAACACTGAACTGCTGCATCCAATGATTGGTAAATTAAATAGTCATTCATTAGTTACCATAGTGATCCAGGTGCAATCACAGTGAACAAAGAAGGAATGGGGTGGGACAGACACAGACACAGACATACACAGAACAAATGCTAACAGAAGCACAACCCTGCACTGATTTTTGTTAATATACTTTTATCTATTCAATTCCCCTAGGTGCAAGATCTTTTTTTGTATTCACTGCTGTTTCACCTGCCTGCAAAGGGAAGTGACACATTCTCTGATATAGCCTCATAGAGTCAAATCCTGAGCTGGAGCAAATTGATGTAGTTCTATTGACCTTGGCAGACAGAAGCCAGTTTACAACAGCTGGGAAATCTGGCAAAAAAAGAGCACCTAATACTCTTTATCTTCTACAGCAACTAAATACTACTGAATCCTCTGCTACTTTTTAACTTCTTACAGCAGGGTTTTCCAGTAAACAGACAGAGGGAAGCTGGTGTTCCCAAAGCCAGCTGGCAGGTTTAGGCACGCAACTGTCACTGATTTCAGCTCAGTCTTCAGAATCTCAGCAATAATCCCTTTGCTGCTGATAAGAGACACAGCATGGGGTTAAGAATATCATAGAATCATAGAATAGTTTGGCTTGGATATGACCCTAAAGATGATTTAGTTCCAACACTCCCACATGGGCAGGGACACCTTTCCACTAGACCAGGTTGCTCAGCGCTCCTTCCATCCTGTCCTTAAACATTTCCCAGGAGGGAGTATCCACAGCTTCTCTGTTCCAGAGCCTGCTCAGGTCAGGTTTAAGCAGATGCGCCGTCTTGCCTCAGCCCTGAGTCCCCCTGTTCCCAGGTAGCACTACACTCACATGTGTTTCCTGCAGCAGCCATGCGGGAAAGCTGAAGCACCTGTATCTGTAGGAGGCTAAATGAGAGAGAACAATGACTCTTCCCTCCTTTGGGTCACTGGCAAACAAGTCCACAGTCACCTGCCTGACAGCACTGCTAAATGACCAGCCTTCTGAAAGGCCCATTAAAACATCTCAATTTATTTTTGTACATGTATTTGGATAGAAGAGAGTGAACCAGTAGAGTGAAACTGTGCTGAGGCTAGTGTCAACATCTGGGCTAGAGATCTTCCCCAAATCAGGAAAAACTGCTCCAGCCCTGGCCTTTGTCATAAAACCCCTCACCCCAGCCACTGGCAGTAGGCACTGAGCACCTGAGTAGATGAGCACCTGGCCTGCTACCCTGCACAGGAAAGCAGCAGCGAATGGCAGTTCACACTGAAAAACCAACACTAGCACCTGATGTGGATACAGATCTCTTGGTTTACTCCACCACCACTTATTTGTTGGTGATGTCCTACGGCAGAGGAATGGGGCTGATGACTGGGACAGTAACAGCTCAGACAAAGCAAACATGAGGACATAAGAGCACATGTGTCAGAAATGGAGTGGCCTTAGAACAAATCTCCACCACATTTTGAGTTTTTTGTTTTTTGTTGGAACAGACTGGCCCTAGTCTGGACTGAAAACCCAGAAAAACACCAGGAGTTTACACCTGTGTTTCATGGGGGGCCCAGGATGTGCAGGAGGGACTGATAAGAGACTGAGCGAGCTGACAAGGACTTTCTGAATTTGCCATTTCTTCAGAACAGTGAGAGGTTTTATTGTTTAATATTACTAATTTCTTATGCTTGTGAATACTTTACTTGTTACATAAACAGGTTTTTTCCACTTTTCTCCAAGGAAATCTTTCCCTGAACTGGTAGGGTAGGGACAGCTTGAATCTGCTTTCTAGAGGGACCCCTTTGGAAGTTTCTTCCCAGATCTGTCCTAAACCAGGACACACACAATACCTCAATATTTCTATCCTAAATGACCATCAGTGACTACTACATCAACTACCACTGTCATTAGGGCCAAATAAGCACATTGTGAGAATGAAACTAGGCATCTTCCTCTGAGCTGCATTGTCCAAACCCCCACAGTGAGATCAGGCATTCTCCAAAATGTAAGAAGAAAAGAAGACAGGTTGAGAGCCATTCTGCCAAGGTCTAATTCATTGCTGTAAGGAAAGAAAGGACCACAGAAGCATAAAGGAAACCCCAAAATATCCAGTGGCTATCCCTACTACCAATGGTATGAGAAGCAGCAGCAAGTACCCTCATCTTCCCCCAGCAGGCACTTGCAGACAAGCCCCAAGCCAGGGGTATGAGATTCTGCACAGTTCAACAAAGGCTGTTGGAGTACAGCTGAGGAAAGGACACTATTTTCTAGCAGCCTGTGCTAGACACTGAGAGCAAAACAGTCTTGCTGCACTTTGTATATTAATTCATTCCCTCTTCTTACTCTATTAGCCTAAGACATTTACTCAGTGATGTCTTATATCCCTTAGCATCTCATAGATTTCATTTAAAGACCCTGTGTTCTCTAACCCCTTAGGTAAGATATTAAATCTTCTTAGACATCTTGAATATAGTAAATAGTAACCATCTTTTTAGAGAAACTGTTCTGATGAGGTCTTCTCTGGAGGTAAAAGAATCAGTATTAAACTCTTTCCTACTTCAGTGAAAAAAAATAACCATTGTAACATTGTGAGCTGCAAGAAAAGATTATGTTTACAAATCATATTTTTGTCACATTTTAAATTATTGTAAAGACTCTATATACAGTCAGAGTCCTGTAGGCAGACCTTTTGCACCCCAGCCTAAAGTCTGCATTTTGAAATTTCTGCTATATGAGTAAGTGGCTAACAGTGTCAAAACTACCTCTTTGCATTCACAGCACTCAGAAAAGCACAAAATCCTGAAAGGGTTTGTCTCCTGTCTCACTTCCATAGGAACTAACTGGCAGTAACACTGCTGAATACAAGAGGAAAGAAGTATGTCCCACGTACGGCTGCAGCTGTTCTGCCCAAGCTGCCCTTTGGACACCATCGCTCCCTGGGGATATGGGACTTCATGGGCCTTTTACTAGGACTCACACCTCTGGCAGAAAATCCTCCTTCCCCTACAGCAATCAAGCAGCAGCAGCACATTAAGTGGCTTCCGTTCCCCTTTGCAGCAAAGCAAGTGCCTCTCCACAGCCAGGCTCCATCCATAGGACTTGCTTTTGTCCTCAGGCAACAGCAAAGCTGGTGCTGTGAACATTCCTCCCCTTTGTGATGTGTCCTGTGCTCTAACCCAGCCGAACTGGATAATGGAAGCACATCTGGGGAGCACACTGACCTTGCTACAGTTAATGATACAACCACAGAAAGCATGTTTTACACGAACATGGGTTCTAATCATTGTTCGAGAGAACAACATGAGAAACATATTACAAATTGGCCTTCTGTGTGCTTCAGCAAGGTTGCCGTCACCATCCTGTCCAGGTAGTGCACGATCTCTGATCCTGAGGGATATGATGCTTTCCACACAGACTCTCTGGACGTAACTGCTGAGTACACATAAGACACACGCTCTAGAGCTGACTGCAAACCCTAAGGCACTGCTAGGTACTCCCCCTGCAGCTTTGCAGCATTCAGGGAAGGGAGTGATGTGGTTTCAGCACGGCATGTGTCTTGTCTTTGACTTCCCAGCCAAATGGTGAGCTACTGATTGCAGGTGTTTGGCAACAAGAGGCCTTCATGTAAACCACGTGAGGATTTAACTGCTGTAGCACCATGTGTTGAGGAGGCACAAAAAATAAAAAGTGACTAAAACAAGAGCTTTCTCTTCCCATTCAAAATCCAAGGAAGGAGGGGGTAGGGCGCTTCTTGACATCTTTACTTGTTAGTCCTGTTTCTGGATCTTTTCGGTAGTGGTCATGACTTTTTAATGTTTTTTTGTGATGAAAGCCTTTGACAAGAGCATGTGTCACACAAAGTGCAGTGGTGAGCCATGGCTTTCATATATATGTTAACCAGCCTTTATAGCATCACAGAGCCTGGGTGACAGAAGAGTAATTCAGTTAAGTTTCAGCAAAGTACATGTATTCTGTACTGTACATCAGAAGGCAGAGGAGCATGGATCTGAAAGGTGAACAGCCATGGAACAGCCAGCTCCAGGGTGTCCCACAGTACCCAGTTAATATGGAAATACCTCTGTTGGAAACACATGGGACACACACTTCTGGGGATGGTGATGCTGGGACTGCTGTGTTGGGAAAGCATGCTGTGAAGAAAAGACTTTCCAGCCAGATAAGTGTTTATGCAGAACTTAATGTTGAAATGAGAATTTGGGACAGCTTGGGGCACTGAAGAATATCAAGTTTCTGTTGGAGATAGCCAGATTTGCCAAGAAGCAAAATTCACTCAGAAACACACAAAGTGAATTTGCCTAGCCTTCTGATAAGGTCCTTCCCCCTGCCCCCTCCCCCTCTATGGAAGAGGAATCTCTTACTGGTATAAATCTGCATTTGAATGAAACTAATGCTTCTAAACTCCTCAGGAGTTGTTTTGAAAATCTTTCTTAAAAAGTCCTGGATTTCACCAAGATAACAGTTGTCTTATTTGAAAATAACATTAGACTCAGTATCTGTTCACATTTGCAGTCTCTAAGAACTACTGAATAAACTGAAGTATTCTGCTTTAGTGGTTTTTTTTAGTTTCTGTAGTGCTTTCTACAGTGGCTCAAAAAGAATCATCTAGTCTAACATGGAATTTTGAGGTCAACAGAACAGAATAGTATAAAATCAAACACTTCTGAATAGAGCCATTTATTTGACTTCTATTTCTAGGCCTCAATTAGGGTAACAAGTTGTAAAATGATGAACAGGAAATCAAATAGCAATCAGCAAATCTTCTTTTAAAAAAAGGACACTGAGAGAAAAGAATTAAACAACAAGCATTACAGATAGGAGAAGAAAAGCAAATTCACATCTACAGTCCCATGGGAAAATATAGATGTAATAAATTCAGGGTAAAATTTAATTAAAACACTGAGCAATGGGATGGGGGACAAAATACAGGTATATAGGAAATCTTTGAGAAATACTTCTGCAAGAACACAGTAAGGTCATTATTATTCTGCTCATACAGCTGTAAGTAATCTGTATACATGCATCATACCACTAATGGGGAGAAAAATAATTTTGTTCTGCTACCCAAGCAACTCCCAGTAAGAAGTGTTAAAAGAGCATAACAACTTCTTGATAACATTCCAAATATGTTTGCGCCTATCCCCAAGATAGTATCTGGTTTATCAGTTCTGCTTTATTTAAATCTTAACTCCTCACTGTCCTGTCACATTTTGGTTGAAAATAATCTAGAAATTATAATGATAATTACAAAAGAGAGGGAGAAAAACAATGGATATTCAAGGCTTTCTTTAACTAAATTCTGCTATTGAGCTCTGTGGAAGAAAACCAATTCAGTAAGGCACATAATTCATTATTAAAGACAAGAAATAAATTACTTAAACTCTTAATTGCACAGCACAGATTATATATTGCAATTCATTTATTGGACTCTTTCTGCCAGGACACTATAGCACATGATGGTCCAGACCCTCAGCCATTGAGAGTTTGTTACAGACCTGTGACTCAGCTCAAATACTGGCACTGCAGACAGAAATGCTGAGAATGGGCCAAACAACACATAAACAGCCCTACAACAAGAGCATGTGGAGCAGGTACAAAAGGAACCTGCCAAGTGGGACAGACACCTCCGGCCATCAGAAAAGAGCACACATCACCTTTGAGGCAATGCTCCAAGTTCAGAGGATGGCCAAGCAAAAAATTTCAGTGTTTCAAATTTTCACCTGAGCAGAGAACATTTTGTCAGGAGACTAAATGTACATTTTGTCACTTGTAGTAGAGAGAGTGAGAATATGCAGGAAGATTTTCACAAGGCTGGTTGGTTCTGCCAGCTGTGTGAGGTCACTCACAGCATGCTACTTCCTGGGGATTATCCAGTGCAGAAACAAGTACAGCCAGTTGTCGCAAGCCTCTGCACAGTGGACTTCTGTGGTCACTGCCCAAAATATAAATAGCTCCTATCCATCACTACCACTCCTGCAGATCACTAGCTCCTCAGTGTAGGACTTCCCTATCCTTGCCTGGTATGTCTGTGACTTTACAGAGGCCTCCAAATCATGATGTAGCATGCAATTGCAGGAGGAGAGAATTTGTGGATAAAATCTATCCCTGCCCACATCAAACCCATTTTCCAGATAAATAAAGAGCTATCTAAAGAGTGGTCACCAAGATTTTCAGATAAACTAGAAACAAAATAAATCCCAACCTTAATTTCAAAACAGCTTTGGTGCTGTACACCTGTGATTCGGCAAACCTTGAGGCTAGGCAGTGAGAAGGCTGTCAGAAGGAGGAAGTAAAAGTGGAAAACAAAGAGAAATCTATCTCCCTAAACTCTCAGCGAGTTCCATGCTGTCTTTGTAACACTAGGAGATAAAACATTTCAGGCAGAAATGTAGATTTTTAAGTTAAGAGCATTCCTTCAAAACTCTGTGTTACCACGATAATGAAGTGTCTCCTGTTTGTGCTTTCTTGGCAAAGGCTTCCAACATTCAGAAGGGAAATGAGAGAATTTGTAGAAGACAGATGAAAACGTCTCTCATTGATAGATGCAAGGAAGGTGTTCTGTTTTGTTAAAATGGCCTCTAGGAAACGTTCATTGCCCAACAACTGATGTATTAATTATTGATAGGGAAAAACCAGCAGGTAGCACTGCATTCAGTTTGACTTGGGGTGGGGGGGGCAAACATCCTGGCTGGTAACACCATCAGAAAATATCTGATTCACAGGAAGTTGTTCCAAATGCAAAATCATTTTTAAGGGGAAATTTCTACATGAAAGGATTACACTGGTAAGAATAAATCATGCTGCTCTCTCACTCCCACTTTCTCTGAGTAAATGTGTATGTATCACATTAACATGGTTTTCAAGCTTGTATTCTAGCTGCTAGGAAAACACAAGTAAAAAGTTAAAAACAATAATAAAAAAGAACAGCAAAAACTAACAATCAACAAGAGTTCTATTATAAATCAGAAGAAATACATATACAATGTAAATATATAAAGTATTTGCTGGAAGCTAGCTAGAATTATGGATGTGGTGGAAAACTCATCATCAGATTTTGCTTAAAATCAGATTACAGTTCAGTGTTTTATGGGTTGTGTGTTACAGAAACCTCCTAAGATTTTAGGCCTAAATATAAAAATCTCATTACACCAGCTATATAGTAGAAATTTCACCAGTGTGGCAAGAAGTTCAGCTGAATAAAAAGTTGAGGTGTATGCTGTGTGTGTGGTGGATAACCAGTGCACATTGCCCAAACTAAGATGTATTTCGAAGCTCACTCCTAAAGACAACACTGGGGATGGTGTTTTTTCCAACCTAGAAAATCCTTCTATTGATTTTCTTCTTCCATTTAAAGAAATCCATTACCTACCACATTTCAAAGGAAAGGGTCCATCCTGAAAAAACTCTTGTTTTTCTGCTGTTGCTTTCCCTGGGTCTCAGTAGGCGTGCAGCTACACACTTGAATGTGTGTACAGCAGGCCAGCACATTGCTCATCCACTGCAGAGACAAAATCCCGGCAGGCAGGCAGGCAGGCTGGTCTTACTGCTAACAGCCATTGCAGAATAAAAGATTCTGAAGTGCTAATGAAAGTCCCACTGAAGAAACCAAAGAACTTTTCAGACCCTATTAGAAAGTAATCTGTAATCAGATGTATAATTACACATCAGGGTTCACTTAAGAAGTCCTACCAACCTCTGGCCTTCCTGTCCTTCTCTTTACACTAAAATATTTTTTTTTTCCTTTCTCTTTTCTTCTTTTCCTACACAAACTGTGCACTTGGCCCTTTGAGTAGATTTACAAGATCTACTCCTGACCTACTTTTCCATTGTCAGTCCTGAAGCTCTTGTCAAGAAACTTGGCAGAACCAAAGATTTAGTAGCAAAGCAGTGAAGTCCCTTAATGAGCTACACCAGTGAGCAAACCTTCCCTAGCCTCACCCTGCCCTTGTTTCAGTTCCTTTGTTATTCAGGTCAGGAGCAAACTCTCAAAGGAAGAAGCCTGATCTCCCTCCTGAAGTAAAGACTCCGGAACTAAGCTCTTGAATTTAACCAGAATAGAGG